GACCAGCTGAGGGAAGACCTGAGGCAGTCATCGCTCCCGCCAGCCCATCGGCACCGTCTGGGCCACGTCTGCAAGACGCTGCTGTCGTGACAGGAACCCTACAGATGTTGCACAAGCGGCAGCATATCGTGGAAACAGAGACCCAGGAGCTACAAGTGACTCCAGACTTCTTCCCACAATCAGGGAAGGCCTGTGGACAAGCTCTCGGGACTTCCACCGTGGAGGCCACTTGAGAAGGGAGCTGCCTGGAGCTACCAAAAGCACCACTGCTCAGTTAACACTCAAAGCAGTCTGGGAAAGCTGGAGCAGCTAGACATTGAACGAGGCCAGTCAGGGCAGGTTCGCGCACATCTGGGACTACTCTGCAAAGCCACCGATCTGGCTGGGCCATCAAACAGCAAAGCCCAAAGTCAGACACTTGGTGCCCTCACGTTCGTACCAGCATAACCTCATCGATCTCGACAAGAGTCGCTCTTGGTTTCTGCATCCATGAGAACAGAAACCAGGCTGGGACCCATCCCACCTCCCTTGTACTCTGATGTCCTCCCTGCACTCGCTCAGACCCCGGCGTGGGATGGCAGCGGGGCACGGCGTGTCCCAAACAAATTTGGGGAAGAGAGGGAAGAAGGAGGGGGGTGTGCATGCGCGGTGTATGGGTAGGACCGCGTGAGCCACGACCGGTGACAGGCACGGCCAGCAGCCAAGCCATGGAGAGCCCCGGGTCCTCCTCGGGCACGCAGCCCCCACTCATGCTGGCCGGCAGCAAGGCCGGAGCAGTGCACATGAGACTCCAGTAACCAACGTGTCCTCTCTGTCCCAGGGAGCCCTCGCAGGCTCCAAGTGGGCCACGTTGTGCGAACCTGCCCTGACATGCCGTTAGCGTGTTGTTAGACTGGCAGCTCGTCTCTAAGCAAACAGACGGTAGGTACTGTCTCTAACCTGTATCTATGTTCCTCTGGATGGCTACAATCAGAAAAGTAGGAACGTGAAGATCATAATACTAATCCATCACGCCACAGTCAGCTCCTGAGCGTTGCAAGATCATGCATGCCAGGTGCTCATTTCATTTCTTTTTTTTTTTTTTTAATTTGCAGCATACATACAATATTAAGGCACACAGGACTTTACGGTAAACACAGATGCAGAAACTCTGTTGAACGACAACTAAATTTAACAACCACTGCATTGCAACACACCACAAGGAGCGTCCCCCCCCTTTCTTTTTTCTCCATCAGCTATCGAAAAGCAGCTTGTACCACCAACTGGTTAAATTCACATGCTAGCAAAGAGCTTTACATCTTTGCTCAGTTGGTGGCATTTCGATTGTTCATGCAGAACTTTCACCCATCTGCTCAAACCGGACGCCCAGGCAAAAAAAAAAAGCACTTGAAGGATGCCACTAGACTTGTTCCCACTCTACCTGTGTCCATGTGCCGCAGCCTGACTGAAAGAGTTCATGTCACCTTGTGGAGTCATGGAAATGCCATTCCTGTACATTGTTCCTATCATGGGGTCAGCTCCTCGCTCCAACAGCAAACTGACCAGTTCAAAATTTCCTGCAAGTCAAGAGATGCATTTTTACTTCCTTTAAAATCCAGTATTTGCTCACCTAAACCACAGATCCAGACTGAAGAACTTATTACAGTGGGAGGAGAAAGCCCTTACCAGCAGCTGCTGCCAACTGTAAAGGAGTTTCAGAGTAATTTTCCTCTCCATGCTCCAAAGAACCTTCTACCTTTGCTCCAGCATCCAGCAACAGCTAGAAAGAAAATTCACCGTTTAGAGCAACTGGGGGTATCACAGCCTTCAGAGTTCATGAACAGTGACGAATGAGAGTCTAATGCTTCTTGTTATCTGCAAACCAGATACAATGGAAACAAGTGACATGCAAATTCTCTCCATTATTTCACAGAGGCAAAATCATTCCTTTTTTCGCTCATTTTATGCTGCCAGACACCAGGAGCACTAGTGTCCAACTTCAGAGCCAAAAAAGTGTAGCCCAGTGTTTCCGAATGGGAAATGGGGTAAGGCCAGTGTTAGGAAGTAATGCACTGAAGATGGAAGTACTGAAAATTAGCCCGACAAGCATCCTTCCTTTATGGTCTTCTAGAAGCCCAGCACCATCCTAGAATGGATCAGATTTCAATCGCCTCTGTCTGTTCTATAAAGACATGGCCAAAAGAAAGGCAATTCTTAAGAACCAATCTCAGTCCAAAAGCCGTGATCTCCACTGGGGGACACTTCCACGTAAATAACAACAACGCCGAAAACAAAAGTGGCCAAGGAGAGCAGGATGGAGCCTGTGCTCCAGCCCCCTCTCGGCCATTTCTGTCTCGAGGCCTTCACAGTTTTGGCGCTTCATGAAGTGTGCCACAGACACAGCTTCTCAACTTCGGAGATGCCAAAGCACAGAACCAGCATATCCCACTCGGCGCCTCGCTGGGGTAAGGGGAACGAGTGCTTCTGCCCCTCCGGAGCAGCACAGGGGCTGTTGTCCACCTCTCCCCCACCAAGGCAGCGGTTTTGTGTTTGCTAGAATATTATAGTGTAAGAAAGTGCAATAGATGAATAAACAGACATATAAAACAAGTGGTCAGGAAGGAGCACAAGGAGTTGTCAGACTTTCTTTGGTGCAACTTTGCTTTAAAATTGTCCTATTTAAACCTCATATTGGTTAAGGTTTGGACACTGTATTTGCTATATAATAGGTCTATTATATATCAGTACACTCTAGAAGAAGCAGAGGTAACCAATATGAGTATGACAAGAGGATACTGGTTTGAGATGGACGTAATCAGAACTGAAGAGGAGAAACAAAAGAATGAGATGCAGGTAGGGAAATACAATAATACCTGAACTACGGGAATATGTCCATGCAACACAGCAAATGTCAGAGCTGTCCAATGGCGGGTCTCGGGGTGGACGGATGGGTATTTATGAGCAGTACTGACAACCTACAAACAAATTAAAGTTATTTTTTTTAAAGAGCTACACGTAATAAAATTCAACCTGCCTGAAAGCCAGGCATGTGAGGGAGTAAGTGAAATAGAAAACCTGAGAAAGGTGCTTTATAAAATGATTGGCTTAATTTTTTTCCTGCAAAAATTTTCTCAATATTGAAACTGCTCATGCTGATTTGACAGCTTGAATAGAGCTCATACCAAATGAAGTCTCTTTACCAACTACTGTAGCTCCATCTAAACCACTGGCCACCAGATACTTTTGCACAAGGTCAGAACAACCACAGCTGGTTACAGCAGCACACACTGGGGAAGCAGGGACGGATCAGGACTCTTACAGCTAAGGACCGGCTCCCACTGACTTCTCCAGGTGGTGTATCAACAGTCCCAGGTCTTGAGATTGCTCTAGGGCCACAGAAATCCTTTCCACATAAATCAGTAAGACTTTGGTCACTGCCATCATGAAAGACCCATCACAAGGCCTACGCCAGAGTTCACAGATGTGCTGTCAGGCTGCTCCTCTCCCACAGGAGGAGGAAAGACAGCTGAGAAGCGATGGGGCAGAGCGGCATTTCAGAGCTGTTTTAAGAAAACTCCTTTTTACCGCTGTCTCCTGACAGAGTTCAGTTAAAAGAGCAGGGTGGTGGCAGTTAAAACAGATGCAAGCTATATCCTTAGAAAACAAAATGGTATTTTTCACATTGCTCCTTCCATTTTCTACGCCTTAGTGCCCGGTGCCTCTAATGTAGACATTGGGGAAGATGAATAACCACTCTTTGCTTCAGTTTCCCCGTCTTAAAGATGGGGGTATTAATATTGATGAGGTTCACAGAGATGGTAGAATCTAATGAACGTTTGCAATCCGAGACTGCACACTCAGATGGAGTGTGACACTAAAATTCAAAATCTTATTATTGATCTTCAGAGGAGGGCTAAAATCAGAGTAAAAGATGCACCATCGCTCTGTCTCATCAGCCAGCTATGCTTTTGCTACCTTGTCTGAAGTACTTTTGCCCATTTAGGGGAGCAGGGCCAGTTATTAAACGCTTGGTTGCATTAGCAGCTCACATTTCAAGCGGCACATGCAGTGTCTTGCTAGAAGCACACGACCAGCCCCTCAGTCCCAAGGACAGGGATGAGGGCAAAATCTGCAGAGCCCATGCAGACCCCGCAGCTTGCCAGAGGAGCAGATCTGCACCAGCACCTGGCTGTCACTGCCCAGATTTGCCAAAAAGAGAGCTCAGAGTGCCAATGGGAGAAGGGTGCCAGTGTCTGAGCACAGGCGTAGGGCTTCTTTGGGTCTGGGTTTGCTTGGGAGGAAGAGGATTGAGCAGCCTGAGCCTCGGGATTTAGGCTGGGGAGGAAGAGCAGCGGAGGGCAAGGATGGGCAGGGTCACGGTTCAGTGAATGCATCCAGCTTCTCCTCAAGCACGGATTCCCACTGCTGTTTGGGGCAGCCCACGGCAAGCAGCAAAGACAATGAAGTCATTTTAACTCCTTTGCTCCTTGGGTTTTTTTGTTAGACGACTTTCCAGTTGACATGGTGTCTGCAAAAGACCCGCAGCTGACTGAGCTTTCAGGCCTCAGTTGAGATTTGCGGAGCAGCTACAAGTGCTACTGACTCCAGAGCGAACTGCAGCTTCTGAGCACTTCGGGAAATGAGTCCACTTTCGCTAAAGATGGGCAATCAGAAAGGGAGGCAGCAAGCATTTGAGGCTACTTTTGGAAACATATATATATAACTGATTTGCAAAGTGAAAGGGGGAAAATGATGCAGGCACCTGACAGAGTATTTATTTTTGTTCATGGTTGATTTGCCTTTTTTTTGCCGTAATTGCCCAATTTGCACAGTTGGTTGTGGTGTGCACAAATCATCTTATAATTGCACACCATAATTATTCACAGTTCTTGTCCCAAAGTGTTTTCATTTGATTTTAGAGCAAACACTCTACAGAAATGAATCGTGGGGAGGTTCACATTCCTCACTGGAGCTGTTCTCTCAGATGTCAGCAGTTTCAGGAAGACAAAACTGTTTAAATTCGCATTTGGTTCAAGTCTGGAAGATTACTGGAGCAATTGGGAGGACTGCTCCTAATGAAAGATTGTCCTAGGAACCAAACAATGCCATCTCACCTCTGAGCCACAGGCAGGGTTAAAGGAGACATCAGCCTCCATGACCATCCAGTCTTTCGTGTGCCTATCAAGAGGGCTAACAGGTGTTCGAGCATTCAATTATTGCCAGCTCTTGAGGGTAGCATACTTGAATTTGGGTAATGGAAATCATCAGCTGATTTCACATAAGCCACCAAACAGCAATCAGATAGCAACGACCATCAGTCTCTTACAGGTGACATCCATTTCTACTTTTAAATTAGATTTTTTAGAAGTGCAAAACGTCTGGCTGAAAGCAGTGACTACAATTTATCAGCTCGCTCAAGTCCAAACAGAACAGATGGAACACAGATAAGTGAAGCAGACAGCTTAATTTACTCATGACCTCAACAAATTGAAACTGGAATCATTAACAAATAATTCTTCCATGGTTTTTCAAACGGCTCTTTAAAAACGTACATACCTGCATTGCACAGAGTCGGACCACACTCTGCTCAGTGGACAGATTGTGTACATTTGTGATGTGCACTCATCAAAGAGGCGTTTATATTCTGGAAGCTTCAAGCTCCTCATCCAACAATTTTTAGCCCAAGGCACTTTGTAAAACAAAACAGTGGAACCTACATTGCACTTGTGTGCTGGGGAAGCTTAGCTGGAACACCCCAATGCATAGAACTGCTCGAGCTTTGGCAGGTTATCAGATGGGTATTTCTTTTACCCTCTTCATTTTAACTCAGCTGAGATTCAGGGAGTCCTTCCAATATCATTAGAGCTGTGCTCTGTGCTAGTGCTAATGCCTGTACCCATTTGCAGTGTGCAAACACAACTAAATTAATATTACCTGTGGAGTAAGTCCGATGACTTCGCCCCTGCTGTGCCGTGAATCCCAATGTCAACCTAATGCAGTTTGATTCCACTATTCATTTCAAGTGGTGCCGTCCAGGATAAGACAAATTTATTTTCAATTCTTGGCATTTTCCCTCTGCTACAGTTTCAGGGGGTAGTGTGAGATGTAAACAAATAACAGAACAAAGATACAACCAACAAAAAGTCCTCACCTCAGCATTCAGATCTGCTCCAGCATCTAGCAGCATCTGCACCATAGCCTCATCACCCCTGACACAAGCATACATCAGTGGAGTCATGCCCTAGTCATTTTTTGGAGTTAAAAAACAAAGGAATTGACAAATTTAACACAGAACTCTCTTTGATTTTTTTCTTAAACAATTATTTAAGTATATATCATCAAGACTAACAGCATGTATTTAACGAAAGCCGTTACCTCTGTTACAGACATGCCCCTCAGACTACCAAAAGCCAACCGTTTTTGTAAAATCTCCATTTTTGTTGTCACTTGGGTTGACTGTGTTGTGTTCATGTTATCCTCAACATCCTCAGCATGGTGAGTGAAACTAGGCTGGTCAGCCTCACCTCCATGTTCACATACTAAACTAAGCGCCTTTGTCTTCGGGGCCCAGCAGGGAAAAGTTTTTATCAAAGCAACCATATTTCCACTGATATTTTAAAAAGACAGTAATTCTAGTCAGTTTTCTATGATCACAGTTTCATAAAATCTAACTTTTTTAATTTCAAAAAGAGCCTTTAAAAACATCCCAAGCTTCTCTTAAGACAAGTTAGATTTGGGCACAGCTTTTTCAACGTCGATACCACGAGGACCTAGAAATGTAAAGGCTTTGTATTGCATGCCCTAGCAAACAAGGACTTAATTTTAAATGAAATGCCAGACAGCACTGTTGCAAGTTGCTGGCTCTAGGAAAACATGGCCCTGTTTGGAGGCAAAGCAGATTAAGTGACCCTTCATAACAGAACCACCACAATGCAACCTGTATTAATCTGAAATACCTGCTGCGGTCAATCACCATTAAATCTACCATAAATTATAACAGAAAAAGCTGTTTACTAAATACAGTAGGATATGTTGATCAACCGCCACCAGTTGTTTTGCAGTAAATCCACTGCAGCATGCAGCTACCTCTGATGCATGTTTATAGCCTACCTTGAGGTCCCCTAGTAAATTTGCTGTCAGACAACAGCCCGTTTGCTGTTTAACCTGAGTGCTGCTGCGAAGTGAAATTATTTTCAGAGAAACTGGAGGTGCCCAGCATGGCCGGACACAGAGCCATGACATCGCTCTTCCTAGCAAGAGCCCAGCACCACTACTTTTGCTGAAATACCCCATTTTCACTGTTTGCATGTAGGGCAAAGGTAGTAGGTGGTTATGTATGGAAGGGCTGCCCCTGTAGAGAAAAAGTAAATTAAAGTTTGTCCCTGCTCGGTACTTAGAGCCCCCGTGAAACATGTTGAGCATTACACAGGATCAAATCCGCAGTGTACTTATGGGGAGAGTGTAAGGGAGTAGGCATTCGGGGCTTCATGCCAATAGTAAGAAAAAAAAAGCTCACTCCAGGCAAGGAGAGTTCTTGGGTGACTTGAAGTTACTTGCAAAGAGAATTTGAAACTACTTCAGCTACAGTCAGTGGCAAAACATTTCCTTTGGCAGTCAATAAACACCATAGAAACAAACAGGACCATAAGAATTACAAATAATTGTGTTTGAGCCTTAAAACAAGGGGATGGGATGGCAACTTAAAATTAAATACATGTTCCTTCAACTTTTAATTCAATTTCTGTAAGTGATGCCATTCGATGATCAAACTAAGTGTTTAGCACAAGGGGTCTGATTGGATCTGAAGAATTTGAAAAGCCCATGCTGGGGCTCCCCACTGCAAGATGCAGCACGTGGGCAGCCACGGCGAAGAACCCCGCAGCAACATGCACAGCAAAGATCTGCCTGGGGGCCACACAGGGTATTTTGGCCCTGCTGAAGCTGAGGAAGGACTTACCAATGACTATAAGGGGCCCAGAATGTCATGCTACAGTAGCTGGGCTTTAAAGAGTTAATGAGGTTTCTAACCTCCCCTGCCTTTGCACTGCTGTCCCTGCTGCTTTTGCCTCTGCCAGTCCCCCAGCCTTGCGCATCGCTCAGCCCCCTCTCTTTGCATGTGGGAGGAATGGATTTTTAATGAGCCCATCATTAGTGTTCGACACATACACACGGAGGAACATGGTAACAACACGTACAATCAACGCAAAGGGCATTTGGCTTTTAGCAAAATAAAAAATGGCTCTTTTTCTTTCAGCCTTGTATCGCTTAGGGCTCGGTCCTGCAAGATGTGGGATCCTGCACATGTGGGATGTTTGCTCCAGCAAAGCATTTAAGCACAGGCTTAGCTTTCCCTCAGATAGGATGTAAGCATGTGTTCAGAGTTAAGCATACGATTAGGTACTTTGATGAATCAAGCCAGAATGTTCCCAGGTTTCAGCCTGGAGGACAGAGGAAATACGCTGTGAAAAGTTTCCAGGTTCAGACTAACTTAAAATAACAATAATTTTTAGAAGTATCATGTATGAACCTTGGAATGAGCTCGCTCATACAATTTTTTGGGGAGTAGTACTGCTCTCTTCTGAAGCTCTTCTCAAACAAATCAACAATATTGACTCAGACTGAAGCTGCTGAACAGCAACCCAGAACAGCTTTCATCTCAGAGGACCTAAAGCCACTTACAACCCAGCTCCTGTCTCAAGCAACCACCCCAGGGGTGGCAGCCACCTGCCTCCTGTCTAAGGGGATGTCACCGCTCTGGGAACACGCAGTGACACTTTCATCAGGGGCACCAGAAAATTCAGGGAACCCCATTTCAGAATGAAACTGTAATATCCGTGGCCATCGTTTCCCTCTGGGAAGGGGGAACCACCTCGGTGAGCATCACAGTCCAGCAGACTGCTGCCAGCAGGCAGCCAAGGAGGCAGGTTCATCCCCGGACACAACCACCAGCCTCGTGGAGCTGGTGGATGTTGGCCACAATGACTCATGGATCGGCAACATTTGCAGAGAGACTTTCACGTCTGGAAGGTCAGTTCAGACTGGGCTTAACTCATTTAAAGACAGCCAGCGATGAACTGTTTCCAGCTGGGGTTTGGTGGTGCACGTGACATGCGTTGCAGATCCCAGGGCAGGGTTCAGCAGAAGGATGTTCACAGCACAAAGCCTTGTCCCACATCACTGTCCATGGCATTCAAGCAGTTTTAAGTAGTCAGATCAACACTAAGCGCTCTTGGGATCTCCCTTCTGGCTTCAGCCGACTCAGTTCACTGTTAAGAAGACTTAAGTGTACGCATTTACCCTCATGCCGAGTTACCTCAGTACCAACAAATCAATGCACCTTGAAAAGACCAAACAATGTAGATGTTGACCTGTTGGTGCTTTAACTGAATGCAAAGCAACGCAGGGAAAGCATTAAGGTCCTCTCTATGTTTAGCTGAAAGCTGGGGCTTATTTTCTGTGATAAGCAGGCAAAACTCTCACATTTCACAGTTGCTTCTTTACATTTCTATCTTGTTACCTGTTCACTCATGCTGTTAATCCCATCTGGCCCCAGCAAGGATATGGCTTGTTTAACCAGATCCGTTCGGCCACAGTTGAGCATCCGGAAACCCAGGTCCTGCTTGAACTTCGCTTCAGTGGCAACTGCATCCAGTTTCCGAGATGCACAAAAACAGTCGTCGATTCTGTGGATGTGAGAAATAAATTCTCTCAGAGGACAGACCTCGCTGTCCCTAGGAAAATAATACTTTGCCCTGTCTTTGAAGGATGTAGGTCATGCACAAACTCATTCTCCTTTGACCTGTATGTTTCAAGGGAAGTGCTGAATGGGAAATGCTAATGCAAGCTAATGGAGATTGCCCTTGGTCTATCTTTCATGGGGCAAGTTATACAATTTATAAAAAAATTGGGCAAAAAAGCATGGCTTTCACTTGATTTTGTTTCCCTGTTTAAGCAATACATAATACATTCTCACCCGAAGTTGTCTCTCTGCATGGCAAGGTGATCCAGTCCCCCCGCTCTCTGAAAAGTTTCAGTGGCTTCAGTAAGCTTTGAATTTACATCAAAAGGATGTATGATCATTGACAATGCAACAAAGAGAAAATAATATCGCTCCAAACGCCTTCAAGGATCTCACCAGCTCAGTCCCAGTAACAGGGAAGCCTTTCTGGAGCAGAAAGCGCTAGTCACAGACTGACTAAGGTCGGAAGAGACCTCTGAAGGTCATTTGGCCCAACCCTCCTGCTCCAGCAGGGCCACCTGCAGATAAGCAAGGCACCATGCTGTCAGGGAGGAGAAGGCAACCTTGCCAGGTACTCATAGCAAAACACCACAAATCCTTTCTGGCTGAGCATAACAGACAGGATGGGATTCTTTTAAGGTCTTATTCAAAAGATCCCCAAACTGTGAACTGCTCAAGATATCCATTTCAAACGGAAGAAGGGCTAGGAGTTATTTAGCCAAGATGTGAATCTACAGCTCCAGAGAGAGCCAGGCAATTCCAATCTGATGTTTATCCAACTTGGTTTCATCTTATTAAAAGACAGATTTGCTTTTCTTTCATGCTGAGGAGTGTCTGGGGCAGAGGGTGGAGTCCAAATCCACAGTGCTTTTGGTGTGAACTTGGATAAAGAACTGTTTGCAAAAACATCACTTTCATTCTCCAAAAATGCTAGGTCAGAAAACAAGGGGCTACTTAGGAATGAAAAACAAAAGATCAAAAGTGAAAAAGTCAAACACACATCAAAAATTTGGTTTCTATTTCATATTTTAAAAATGCAGCAAATCAGAAGAAAAACGTAAACATCACATCATTATCATTTAAATTTCTTCTTCAAAGTGCTTTATCAGAGCTTTATAAAATATATAACACTGCTTAATATTTAACAGCAATATGCAACTAATACGGTGTTTATGTAGAAGCAGTGGCATGTAGTAATAGCTACCATTCTTCCGCTTTCAGCAGAGGAAGGAAAGTGAGATGGAAAATACACAGTATTTTGATCAAAGCTTCTGCAGGACTTCGCAGCATCTGGCATCTGAGCTCAAGCTCAAGCTCAAGCTTGCTCCCTGCTGTGCCAGGCCACAACCAGCCAGGCAGACAACAGATAACTTTGTTCCTCTTCATTCTACAAGCTGAGTTTGGGTTTTGACTACTAAAAAGCTGATGTCCTAAGAATGCAAACAGGGTATGCTTGGAGTATCGTTACTCAGGGGAACAAGGATGACGCTTCATCACAACAGTATACTGCAAGATTAATGCACAACACTCGGTCACAATAAATACACCGGAACAGCAATAACAGACTCTGCACCAGTAATATGCCTACAACAGAGATGAAGAAAGCAACACACAGCAAGGCTGAGTTTTCTGCATTATTTTCTGAGCGAGTTGAAGGAAAAAGCAAAACCAGCACAGAAATGCAGAGCTGAGCTCAACGACACCAAGATCGATGGGAGCAATGGCAGCTTTAACACACTCACACTGTATGGCACATTTCTGACACAAGAGCTACAGCAACATTTGGTACTTGTTACCCCCGCAGCATGAGATGCTATAGATCATCTGTGCCCTCCTTTAACGTAGGGCACAGATAAAGCATGCTCAGAAGTTAGATGCTGGGGGTTCTGGTGCACGGAGAGAGAGCCTGAGCCTCCCAGCTGCAGATGGCCATTGCCCGATGACTCTGGGCTGAAAATGAGGTGGTTCCTCGGCAAAGTGCAGCTATGGAAAGATCCAGACAGCCTCCGAGGACTGCAGAGGTGTCTGTCACTATGAATCACTGCCTGTGTTGAGCCACTGCTTCATCATTTGTACTGAGGTCTATAACGTAGACTCTGAATAAAATGGGTCAAACTCAGTGCTGGCAGAAACAGGCAGAGCTTCACTGACGTCAGTCTGGCTTGGTGCACGCAAAACAGTAGTCGACGATCTCTTTAAAAAAAGCCAGATTTTGACCTGGGTTGCACACCCATACCAGGAAAGGAGTAAGAAGGACCTGTCTCACCTATCCTGTACGGGCTGCCCAGATCTCTACTCTGGCACAGGCTCAGAAATTACTTAATTCTCCATAAGTAACTCCTCCATGAGTTTGCTCTGGTCCCCTAAAAGCACCTGCTTACAGCCAAGGAAGGGGACTCACTAGTTACTGCTGATATTGGGTAGGAGCAAATTAGTACTCCTGTATCAGCTGGGGGGAAAAGGGTCTTGGTCCAAGGGCTCCAGGGTGCTGCAGCTGTACAAACGCTGCAAGAATAACACGGATGCAGAGGAGTGCCTGAGCTGCACAGCCGTGGGGTGGCACTGACGAAACGCGATCTAGATCAAGTACCACAAAGCAAGAAATCACAGCTTCGTGTCATTACCAGGTGCCCATTGCCTTTTTATATCCTAAAAAAGACCCACCGTGAATGAGTAACAGCCCCGATTTATGGGACATAGCGAAGGAAACTATAAGGCAAAATCTGACATAGATTATTGCTGGTGTCACGGTTGTCATATGTTGACTAATAAAACGGATAATGATCAAACTGGGGAGTTTAATAAAACAAGAGCATGACGCAAGGGAAAGGAATGGGGGACGCTTCAGAGGAGAAACAACATCTCAAAAAGCCAGAGAGATGAACGAGTTAAGGAAAAAGAGATTTAACACGTACAGATAAAAAGCAGTGAAGAGACAGATCAAAAATGATCAGGAACTAGAAGTACAGAATAGGAGAACACAGCACCGCTTTTACCACAGGAGAACGCCAACTGGGAAGACGGTACAGCAGATAGACCAAGCAGTCGCATTTCAAAATGAAAACTGAAAAATAAAAAAACCCACGCCAAATCCATCAAAATTCAACCCTAAGCCAACACAGCACTGCATCTGCTCCCAAGTCCTCTTTCATACCACAAACTGCATAATGCTGAATCCAACAGAAGCGGAGGGTCTCTGCTCCATATTACACTGTATAAAGGGATGCTGCTCCATCACAGAGACCATCCAGAATCACAAACATTAAAGGATGCAAGATAAAAAAGGAGGAGGGGAGGAGGCATCCAGGCACTCAAGACTTCTTAATGGTGCACTGCAACAAACACACTGGCAAGCTGTGAAGAGGTGGGAAAGGGATGGGAAGAAGCTTGAAAAATAAGGTTGACGAGGAACAGTTAAGTCAGGTAAATGTACAGGGTCACTTTTTAGAGTTGTGAAACTGCGCCTGCAAAGCAAGGGAGGCCAGCGTAAGCGCAAACAGAGCTGGAAACCTCCCCAGCTGCACAGTCAGCTCATGGCCCTTTTGCCAGAAAGTCTTTGTGAGCTTTCCAGTCGCACAGGAGGCTGACACCGGCCCGACGATGGGACGTCCCCTCCAAGGCCACCTTGGTCTGTTGCCAGATTCTGCCGGCTGCCAGCGCTCATGCAGGTCATCCTTTCTCCAAGACCTCACCCTGCAGAAAAGGCGCTTTTTTCACGGAAGGGGCAGGGAAGGCTGACAGGAGGAGAGGATGACCATGGGGGGCCAATGGTCTTCTCCCTAGGGCCAGTCTCAGGACAGCAGGACATCACTGCCCTGGATACTGGCTGGGTCAGGTGAACTTTGAGGTCCCCAGGGGTGATATAGTGACAAAGGTAGGACTGGCCAGCATTCTTCAAGGTTGATAGCCTCTCTCAAGAGACTGAGTCCCTTCTTTATTCCCCTATTTAGCGACCCGTGAGGCTGGGCAGGCTTGTCGGCACTACCACCGCTGTACACATGCTCCCGCTCCCAGAACTGACACGTCATATGCTTGAATTAATAACATACACTGATCATAGTCCTCGTGCTCAACAGCAAATCCAACCCCCTAATTCAGGCGCTCAGTCGCACAGCCTGTAAACTCCCTAACTGGTCCCTTCCTACCTTGAATCACACAAACAATTGCCTTTGTAAGTAAAAGAAAAATTAGAAACAGGTGAAATAATCTTGATTTTATATTTGTAGCAAAGCTGTGACCACATTTTTTAACTTACAATGCAATACAATTTTCTCCAAGTCTTCTTTCAATTCCTCACAGATACTGCTTCTACAGCAGTTATCTTCAAGATCATTACAGTGTTACCACTGCACATAATTAACTTTACAGTGGATTTAGATGGGGGATGCCATGGTAACATTAATTATTTGCAAATGGTCACTGTCAAACGCTGCATGGTGACCATGACACTCTATCGTACCCCAAAATACTCAGACTCTGAAAGGTGTCAAAGATAATCTTCTTCATTTATAACGGGTCCTAGCAGTACAGCAAATAATTTTTATCTTTTCCCAAACTCACATTATCAAAATGTAACGCAGCACTTCTACAGCAACAGTTTAAATGCAGGGGTTTTTTTTTCTTTCTCATTTTTACTCAGAGTGGCTAAGATAGGGCCTGTGCAGATCTTTAATAAATTACTCATAGATTGAATACATTTGGGAAAACGGATGATTCACAGGCAAAGTGTTTCCATCGTAACTGGTAGACACGGTAGCTCTCTTATTACATAGCTTTTTAATTATTTGTTCTTTGGGATAGGATTATTGCTGCAGTCAGTAGTAGACAATTTTAAAAAAAGCAGCAATGCTCTGTTAATGTTACCAAAAAAAAGTAAGAATATCTTAATCATGTTGTAAGTTCCACATGCTGGTATAGCACACTAATAGTTGATTTAAAATAAAT